ATCCTTTCTGATACAGCTTCACAATTTTGGTAAGGTTGGCTGTGATCTTCAAGCAGATGTTTAGAATATGTTCCCTCCTATCTTATAAAAGACACTGTTGTTAGGAACAAGTATTTATTGAGCGGCTTCAAGATATTTAACACTGTACTGGTCATATTAGAATACCCGATGTAGGGCCTTGAACAAAGACATTAGTATTATTGCTTAATAGATGAAAACTTAAAATGGCTGCAGGTTAAATAATTTGTCAAAATATTACTACTGAAAAGTGGCAAAACTCAAATTTTAATTGTAGTCTCCCTGATTTTAAATCTCCTACATGTTTTGTTATAGAACTCCGATTCTTTCTTTCTTTCTTTCTTTCTTTCTTTCTTTCTTTCTTTCTTTCTTTCTTTCTTTCTTTCTTTCTTTATTGAGATGGAGTCTCACTATGTTGCCTATGTTGATCTTGTGATCAAATGTAAGTAAACTCAAGTGGTCCTTTTGTATCAGCCTCCCGAGTGGTCAGGAGGACAGTCCTGTGCTACCACACCCAGGTCATGACTGTACTTGCTCATAAACAAGTTCACTAGCTATTTTCTCATGCTATCAAGCTCAATATTCATTCTTCATGTTAGACTCAAGTTCCAGTAATCTGTACATCTTATGTTATTGCCTTCATATCTTTAATAAACTAAAATGTTCAAAGCAGAGATAGATTTCTCACATAAAAAGATTTCACCTATCATGCAGTTAGCAAGTGTGTTTCATAACCCAAATATTACAGGTTTCGGGGGACAGATTTAAAAAAAAACTAGAGAAAGAACTAGAATTAATTAAATGGTACCATATTATATATATTTATAATATATCTAGTATAAATGATATATATAGTGTGTGTGTATATATATAGTATATGCTATACTATTATTAAGAAATCTTATTTGAGTGTGGTACATACCTGGACTCCCAGAATTCTAGGATACTGAGATAGGAGGCCCAGGCTAGGAAATTCAGTGACTTAGTGAGATCCTGTTTCAAAAATAATTTTTTAAAAAACTTAAAATGTAGGGATATAGCTAAGTTCAAAGACTCTGGGTTCAATCCCTAGTACTGTATAACAAACAAACAAACAAATAAAAAGTCTCTCATGAAAAAGATAAGGAATATTATTGTTTCTAGTCAGGTGAGAAAATTGAAGCCATTAAAGATATAGTAATGGCCGGGGATTTAGCTCAGTGGTTCCGTCGCCTGCCTTGCAAGGGAAAGGTCCTGAGTTCGATCCCTGGTACCAACAACAACAAAGATATAGTAATGTACTTGGTTGGGTCACTCAAGTGGACAAAATTAGCTTGGAACCCAAAATCACCAGCCTGTCAGCCCCTGGCTGCATGAGTTCTTGCACAGCACTCTGAGTCAAAGGCGTTGATGGTACCATTGCCTGAGCTGCACCCAGCTCTGCACATTGCTTCGCAGTCTTTGCAATTTTAATTTCACTCGATTTAAACACAGAATTGATTTTTTTTTTGCATTACCCCAGGCTACTTTTGACTAGCTTCAAATAGAAAGAAATCCACCACATAGATTTTACATGGGAGTCTTTACCTTTAGTGAAGATGGTCTTATTTTTGTTTTATCCTGTTTTAATGGGTAATATCAGCTGTCACTGTCAAAATCCCTTTCATTGGCAGAGGCAGATGGGGGAGGTGATCATGTGTGATTCATGTTTGTTCCCTAGTGGCCATCAACTCACGACAGTTAAGTCCAAAAAAATGCTTTGAAATTGGTACAACTACTTTTTATTTGTTTGGTTGTTTCCAAGTTCACCTGGAAATTTTAATGAGCTTAAAATTGTGGGGTAGAAAGGATGACACTTTTTTAAGATGATAATATACCCAATCAAGGTCTAGATGACATATTTTGTGTCCCTTTAATTTGCATCTTTGTAAATATAAAATTTCCACTCAGGTCGGATGGGATCATATGCTGTCCTTTTCCACTTATTCAGAGATGTGGAATATATAAATATACATTGTATAAACATATATTTATGGAAGTATCTATTTATATATAAGTATATATATTTATATATAAGTAGATATATATATTTGTGGAAGTTTCTATTTAGATCATTTTTTCTATTTAAATATTTTGCCCATTTTAAATTGGGTTGCTTATCTACTTAGCAGTGAATTTTTAAAATTTTTAATTTTTTTACATAGATATGCTTACAGTACATAATGATTACATTTACCATGGGGAGTTAGTACATGTACATCATACCTCTCAACTCTTTTTAATATCTCCTTCTCTTCCTCCTTCCCCTCCCTCCATCTTAATGCAGATTATAGATATAAATCTACTGTTGAATATATAATTTGCAAATATTTTTCTCATACTCTGCCTTTCCTGTTCTTTTTCATAATAGTGTCTTTAAAGAGCAAATGTAACTGGTAGTGAAGTCCACCTTCTCAATCTGTAAACATTTTGTAGTTTGTATCTTTTGTATTTTAGCTATAAAATCCTTTCAAACTCATAGTATTAATGTTTTCTCCTATGTTTTCTTATACTTTAATGCTTTCAAATTTTACATTTGGGCCTATGATCCTTTGTGAGTTTGTATTTGTCCAGGTATGGAGTTATGGTTAAAGTTCATTTTTGTGGACGTGGCTCTACTATTTGTGCAATGTCATTTTTTAAAAATGTTCCTTTGTCAAAAATCAACTAGGACATATGTTTGGATATAGGTATTTCTGAACTCTTCTCTGTTCCAATGATGCATTGGTCTAGAATTAGGTTGATACCATATTGGTTTTATTAATCTAGCTTTATAACAAATCTTGGAATAAGGTTTTGTAGCTTTGTCCACTTGATGAGAAAATTTATTTTAGCTACTCCAAATCTTTTGTATTTCCATATAACATTTACAGTCAATCAATTAATGTCTGTGACAACAACAATAACAATGCCTCCTAAGATTTTTAGAAGGATTATGCTCAATCTATTTCCTTGGGAAGAATATCTTAATATTGAATCTCTTAACCCATAAACATGATACATCTCCCCATTGACATGTTTTCTAAATTCCTTCAGTGATATGTTAGATTTTCAGCAAACAGTCTGTTTATATGTTTTGCCAAATTTATCTCTGTGTATTTTATGTTTCTGTGGTGGTGTGATTTTTTCAATTTCTGATTATTTGGTGCTATTAAATATCTTATCAATATTTTTATCCCTCAACCTCATATCCTGCAAAATGGCTAAGCAAACTTCGGAGTAATCCTAGGTCTTTTGAGGATTACATCAGCTTTTCTGCATAAATGATCATGTTGCCTGCAAAGAAAATTTTTCTTCTGTTTTCCTGAAAGAAATAGATTTACTTCTATTGTTTTTCTTGATTGCATTGACTAAAATGTTCAGTATAATACAATGTTGAATAGACTTTGTCAGAGTAGACAGTCTTGCTTTTACTTCTGATCACATTCATGTCTAGTTTTGAGATTTTTAATCACAAATTGATGTTATTTTGTTAAATGCTTTTTTTTTCATTTTTTTATTAGTACCTGTTTGTGGTACATAATGATTACATCTATTGTGGAGAGTTGGTGCATGTACATAATATATCTTAATTCTTGTTTTGCATCCCCAACTCCTCACCCCTTCCTTCCAAGTTTTGGTCTTCTTCCCATTTGTGAAAGCTCTATTTTCATAATTTTCACCTTCAATACTTTTTCCCACCCTTTTCCCCTCCTCTTCATTCCCCTGCCTCCCTGGGCTCATCTCTTATTCCCCCACCCATTTTTAAAAGATCTCCCTACTTCCTAGCTTTTTCATTATTTCTCATCTGATAGATTTTTTTCTTAGACTATTAAAACAGTGAACTATGGATAACTTGAGAATAAAGGAAGGTGACTATGTGGCAGTGTCAGATGTTGAAGCAGAGTGCAGATGGCATGGATGGACATCAGGATCCTGAGAAGTAGGGTGATGAGGTTGTCACGACTCACACATATGTTAAGAACAGTGATTATTATTCTTTATTGAGGTCCACCTGCCTGATTGTACAGCCTCCTTCCCTAGTTCCAAGCTCCTTGAGGTAGACATGGGAAGGCAGTTTCTTGGATTCATATATAGTTATTTTGCCAAATAGGTGAAAAGGAAAGAGAAGGATATTTAGTTGAGGGTATTTGTGAGTGAATGAATGATTATGTATCACGGTCTCTGCTGTTTAAAGGGAGAGATGAAACAAGAGGAAGATGATTTCCAGAGAGAAAGTACTAGGGTCTGTGGATGCAAAGCTCTTGATGAGATGGAAGAACTGTTTCAATAGATATTCAGTAAAGGAGCCTGAGAGTGTAAACTGTAGTGGCTGAAAGGTAAAATGTCTGTTTTTGTGTGTGTTTTTTTAAATGATGAAAAGCAGTAAGATACTACCTTGGTAATGGAGGCCGAAGTCTACTGTGCCAGAACATGGTACTGAGGAGTTCACACAGTGGGTAAATAAATAAAAAACTCACGTGTATATTGAAGTACCCTTTCATGAGTTATATCAACCATGGGAAAATGAATGGGGGATGTAGTCAAGGAGCAATGAGAATCAGAAACCCAAGAACATTAGCATCTCAAAAACTAAGAAAGAAGCCATTACTGAATCAAGAAAGATTAGATGAACACATTTGCTTCTGTAGCTCTTTAATTGTGATGCCACCACAATTTCAGAAAGACATGTGTTCGATGTGTCCTAAAGTCATGGGATGACTTTTGATACTATGATGTACAATTGCGCTATGTGTGAGTTCTGATTTTACCATACAGATGCAAAAACATATAAAACCAGAGATCCTCCAGAGCTCTGCAAAGAGGCTGAAGCATAATAACTTCTTCATGTTTTTTCCCTATTCATGACAGGAACAAAAAAGTTGGCTTTGAAAGACTCCTGCCAGCTTGGAAGTACAAAGATGGAGATTGTTGCTGCTGTGCCCTCCTAGCATCTATTCTAATTCTGTTTTTCAAATTCACAGAGAGTGAAGAAGTTTATCAAAGGCAGGTGCTGTCAATTTCATGTATCATCTTTGGAATTGTCATCGTGGGCATGTTCTGTGCAGCATTCTACTTCAAAAGCAAGTAAGACAATTTCTCTCAAGTGTTAAAAGTTCTCTTCTCAAAGAAGGCAGCTGGTCTTTCTTTACTTTCTCAGTCTCTTCTCCAAGCAGAGGGTTTCTGTGCAAACAAGTTTACCAGCCATCAGCAAATGACTGAAGATTTGTGTAGACTGCAGTGAGTATGTCATCTGCTGCATATGGATGTGTGCGCATGGGTGTTATCTTTGATGCACAGAGTGATCATTTACAGGAATTGATTAAATGCCCAGTGTCTGCTGGTCACTGAAGGGCTAACTATTCTGAACGGGGGCGCACTGCGGTGAACCTAACAATTTGCTCAATTGCCAACCATTAGGGAAAAAAATATACAGAACAAAAAAAAGAGTTTTCATTTCATACTGTTTTTACCCAAAAACCCTAAAGGTTTTAGCCAAGTAGAAAGAACACTAAAAGCTAGTTGGATCAATTGGTATATGCATCTGGAACATGTCCTAAATTTCACTTGCCAGGAAACTAGACCTTCAGTAGATGATGGTACTTTGTGTTTATATTTTTCTGTAAATGAATTCTGATAGTTATTTATGGAAATGACATAATCTGCACTTAAAATGCAGATAAAAACATTAGCCTTTTGAATACTTGAGGTTTAAAAAGTTGGCTCAGATTTTGTTCTACAGCTTGTCTGAAATGCAAGCCAACATGTAATTGCTTTTTATTGGGCTGATATTATTCTAGCCATTTGCTCTTCTAAAAATGGATCAATGTCCAAATATAGTTTAGAATACCTGTCTGCATGTTATGTATGTTGATTTTTTAGAGAACTACAATTATGACTTAAATAACATAACTCAGACATAGATGCAGAGTTAGTGCCTATTGTTTTTTAATAAACAATTTCAGAACTGTCTTAGATTTTCAGAATTAGTGTACAAATAGTACAGAGAATTCTTGAATATCCAAGACCCACTTTTCCCTATTATTAATGCCTTACATTAGAACAATGTGCTTGTCACACATAATGAAATAATATTGATAAAATGTATCTAATAACCATTCTTTCAGATTTCCTTCATCCTTTACCTAATATCTTTTTTTTTTGTTTCAAGACAGCTCTTGGCTGTGACAGTTGTCACTGCGCAGTTGTGGAACATGTACTTTTTCCCAGGCACATTGGATTTCTCATGTGTCAGCACCTGATCCTCACAATAATCTCAGTTGTGTGTCATGTCACTGCAATTTTCAAGTAGTGTGCTAGTCAGCTGTTTCTTAGCATAAGAAAATACCTGAGATAATCAAGTTACAAAGAAGAAAGGTTCCCTTTCTTTATTTTTGTTTTAGGGTTGCACTTTTGTAGATTCCACTCACAATCAGGCCCTTGTGTTTGGTGCTGTGATGAACCAGAACGTCATGATGGAAGCACATGACAGAGGAAGCGTGGTCCCTTCATGGTGGAATGTCAAGAAAAACACAGGAAGGGGCAGGGTCTCACTCTCCTCAAAAGGGCACAGTCAGCAGAAAACCTTTCACCAGCCTCCACCTGTCCACCAGTTCCACCACTTGTCCTAAGCTCTAAGGTGGGACCAAGCCTTTAACACATGGGCTTTGTGGGACATTTCAGATCCAAATTGTAGCAGATAATATTGAGATTTATTTTAAAATATTAAACTGTCAATGCCACAAGGGAGGAATTGCAGATACGGGGCTTTGAAGCTCACCAGTTCTAGTATTAATCCTGTATTATTAACTCCTGTACTCTGGCTCAGAGAATCCTCTGGTAGATGAAGAATCTGCCCAATGTGAGCCAGGAGTGCCCCTCTTTGACAGCAACCCTCCCACCGAATGGTCTCCAGGGAGGTCATGTTGCATGGTCCTCATGGTTTTATACCAATCAGCCATAGCTACATTCAGATCTTTAGCTTTCCACTTGCTTTTTGTGTTTTAAGGAAAATTTCATTACATTTCTTATTCTCAGTTTCTTTCTTTTTTTCTGGTAAAAAAAGAACAGAAACAGTATCCCCCTTATAGAATTGTGTTAAGGACTAAAGGGGATAATACTGTAAAGCACACAGCACAGTGTTAGAAGACTAAGTGCTCTATAATGGTTTGCTGTTGCTAACATCCACAGTCCTCCACACAAGGACTTGGAAGCTGTGTGGCAACAAAGTTAAGTGCATACACCAGAGAATGCGACAGGTCATCAAACCTGGCAGGGAGCAGGAAAGGTCTCCTCTTAAGAAGGGACAGAAGTTGTGTAAAACAATAAGCAAATTACTATAAAGAAGCAGTTAATTGCTTATTTTTAGAGTATAATTTGTAGGTGTACCACACTTAAGTGAAAACTGTGGTAATCATGAGAACAGAGAACAACTGGATAACCAGGAACTTCTGCTTTCAGGGCTGTCGATCTGCTACCTGGGCAGCACATGGGCTCTGAGGCCAGCAGCTCTTCCTGGGGCTCGACGAGGGCTCAGGATGTTTAATGCAAACACTATTCCATGCCAGATTCATCATAGGAGGTCAGAGGCCCAAGTTCAGGCTGGGGCAGCACTGGGAGACTGTCCTTCTGCCTGTCCACCAAGGGCCCATTTGTAGTAAAAATGAATAGGTATCTATAAAATTAAAATAGTAAGAATCAGAGCCCTTTTCAACTGGAATCATATTTACCAGGTGCCCAGAGTGTATGTATTTCTTCTATTACAGTTGCCAGGCACGGTCTTGATTTTCCTTTGCCTGAGAGAAATGTCATACCCTGTACCAAGCTCTTAATCTATTTCTTCAAAACAGTTCAAAAAAAAATTATTTTTGGTACTGGGGCTTGAACTCAGGACCTTGCTCTTACATGGCAGGTATGGTGCCACTGAGCTAAATCCCCAGCCCAAAAGAGATTTTTATAACACCCTGGCACAAGCTTCTTTTCTGAATTCTTGGATGTTTTATTCCCTTTCTCAAAACTTGGGGATAACAGAATAGACAAACAACACCTTGATCTCCTCTTACTGACATGTACAATATATGATTGTTTCTTGTCACTCTTGGCATGACATCACTTAATTAGAAGGAATATTAGAGAAAACTTGATCTCTGATTCAAGTGTGTTGGTAGAAAACATGATGAGGCAAGAATGAAGAGCGTCTCGAATATAGAGGATTTTCTTATGCAGTTATTTGAGCCCTCCAACAATACTAAACACAGGGTAAAAGAAATTTTCTTTTCATCACTTACAATGAGACCATGTGTTCCCACACATAGTCAATAGCAGTATTAGACGGACCTTTCAAATCTGGCTGACATGGTTTATATGGAAGCTGTACATTTTTAATGGATTCCTCTTTACTTTCAACTTCTGTAGGTAAGAAGTATGAAGTTGACTGTAGGAGTCCTTAGTAGAGTTGAAAAATGCATTGATGACACTCAACTCTAACTAGATTTGGGACAAGAAAGGAAATGTTCAAGGAGGCCGAACTTGGATTAAGTAATTATCAAAACTAGGAAAACAGTAGAAAACCACGAGGCCTGGTATTATGGGCACAGTATATACCTGGTGGTAACCTGCCTCTTTCTGCAGGAGGTCATCTTCTGGGGTAACTTTTCAGATCTTGGGGATGCTCTGAGGCACCACTGTGATCCTCTGTAAAAGGAGGTCTACATCCCTGAGGTGTCAGAAGACAACTGTGAAAAGAGTTGCGTTTGTCAGTCACGGGCCCTGTTCTCAGATAACCTAGTTCCAATCGCAGGTCAAGACGAGGTTTGGAAAACTAAACATGTGCCCCATACTGGAGTGCAAAACCAAGGTAACTTCAAAGCTTGGAGTTTGCTAAAGTCTTCACTGAGACTCAGTTGCATTCAAACTTCTCCTTCTGCCCAGTCCTATTTTCTTCCCTTCCATAGATATTGATTCCTAATTTCCTCCCTAACAATACTCCTGTATGCTATCTCCATTCCTACTTCCTCAGGAACTCAACCTATGACACAAGATAACATCTGCCCACAAGATTGTGATACATACCACTCTGAAATATCCATCTCTTTTCTTTCTCATTCTTTGGGCTAGAGAAACTTCAAACTCCTGGCCTGTGAAGGTTCAACACTGGCCTTGGGCCAGTAGCATTCCCGAGTACAATGCACATATGGTGTCCTTCCCAGAGCAACTGTTCTCCTGAGAGAGCTAATGGTATTGCAGTCAGATACTGCCCGTTTTCTCTTCCCATTTGCTAAGGAGAGTAAGAAAGAGGAACAGTGTGTGCTTGTGAAAGGGAGGGATGGCAGGAGGAGAAGGCAGGCTCTGAAATGGAAAACCACTTGCCTTAGAAAATGACTGTATCAGGACTGCAATAAGATGAGATAAGGAAGGCAAACTGGAAAAGGGTTCAGGAAACATGGTCAGATACTTTCACAAGGAATATATCTTTAAAAGTTTGTATTTTCAACACTCTGAATTATGAGACTACTCAAAAGATAGTGTTTCTGGTACTTTAATAGTTAGGAGAGTAATTGAGTCCTTTTTCTGTGCCAAGCGTCCTTTTATTGCTTTGTAGTGATTCACTTGGCCAGCACCTACTGATATCCCATTTGCTTCTTGAATAGATCCCTGATAGGATTTTGTGGCTACAATGTGCTTTTTAAATGCTCACAGGATGGACTTAATTTTAATAATAAGCTGCAGATGAGTTGTTAAGAAGTACATAGATTATTATAATTTGATTAAAACAACTAAAAGTGCTGGGGATAAAAACCCCACAAATAATTGAAAAGATAAAAGAAATATTTAAACAAACAAGTATATCACACTGGTGTTATAAATTCAGAAGGGGAATTGATGCTCATAATTTTCACATTCTTCAGAAAATACTGATGACTTGTGAAAGATGGAATTAGTGCGGTCTTTCTTTTGTCTTTGGGCCAGCATCCTAATTCCTCTGAAGCACCGCAAGGTTGACTGAGCTTTTTGCAGATTGAAAAGGAAAGGGACATTTTGCATGTTCTCTCACATTCAGTTGCCATGGAATCCATGGAAGAAAGCTCTGATGAACTTCATTTACAGATGAGGAAACTCAGGCTCAGTGGTGTTTAAGTAATTACCGGGTAATTACACTGGTAGATGATGGAGTCAGGATTCAAATCCCAAGCCCTGTGACACCATCACATATCCTCTGGGAGGGCTGCCTGCCTGAGAATCTCACCGTAGACATGCAGTCCAGCAATATCTCTCCTTGCCAGAGAACTTAGGGGAGAGGCACACTTCAGAGATGATTCTGCAAACCTATTTCTGTGCATACTGAGCCTCATTCTGTTGATAATTTCTATATATCTCTTGGGGCAGTGCAGCTAATCAGGCAATAGCTTTTCTACACTTCTGGTACAAACACCGATTGATCAGTCACTTCACACATGCAGGCAGGAACACTTTACTAGGAGTCCAAAAATCTAAAATAATCTCAGCCTCCCCTCTTAGCAGCTAAAGGGCCATATGCAAGTGGCTTCACTTGGTGGTGATTTTAAGCGCACAATATACAGCCAGAGTGTATGGGATGAAAATCAGTCGCTAATAGTGATTCTGTGGCCCTAGGCAAATGCTTTAACTTGTTTGTACCTCCATCTTCTCATCTATTAAATGGGTGTAATATTGGCTTATCAAATAAAATTATTGTAAAAAAATAAATGAGTTGATACTTGTAAAACACTGAAAATGATATGTCACACATTACTATGTAATCACTGGGCCATTAAAAGTTAACTACTTTTATTATTTGAGCTGTTGGTAACAATAAATGAACTCTAAACTCTGAAAGACAGAAAATATACACTTTTATACCTATGTAAGCATTGCATATAAGCTACATACACTTGTGTTCCATAAAAGTAAATTTATCTTTGTAAGTAAGTTATATGGGGCTGCCAGTCACTTCTTGGTAGCATTTCCAATTCTTTGTAGCTGAACCCTTAGGGTTAGGGACCTCTTACAACCACAGAGGCCAGGAAAACATGCTAGGTTCCCATCTGTCTTTGGAGTGCCATTGATTATAAATCCCTGATAATATTAGGGTAATATCAGTTTCTCCCTCCATTGGAAATATTTCTTGGTGAGTTGAAAATGAGAGAATGGCTCTTTGTTAAGTAAATTTATCTAATTTTAGCAAATGATAAATGTAACCATTGGGAATGAATGGACTTCAAAAACTAAGGATAAAATAAGCATATGTAAATATTTATGCATGTATTTATACCTGTAGGAAACAAGCTAAACAAATCCAAGAGCAGCTGAAAGAGTCACAAAATGGTAAAAACTACAGTCTCAAAGCATCCAGCATGATGGCAAAGTCAGAGAGCTTGATGAAGAGCCATGTGCAGCTGCAAAATGTAAGTTACATCTCCATCATCTCCTCCAATGTCTGGTACCAAGCTCCCAGCCCAGAGGGAAAAAGGAGCCTGTGATCAGGCTTGTATATTCTTCACTAGTTTCTATAGATTCTTGCTTAAATCATCTCACAAGTCTGGTGTATATGCATGTGCAGGCACACATATGTATACGTGTGTTTTCAATGAAAGAAAGGAAAGCTAAGTCTCAGCATTGATTTTAATCCAAATATAAATTAATGTCTGGTAGGAGTAAGAGCTTCAGTTGGTTGGCCCATAAAATCTTTTGAATACTTGCTTTGTGCCAGAAATAATGTTTGGCTTGAGGGATACAATGCACTTTGCCCTTTGAAAACCAACATACAGTAAGAAATGTAACTACCACCAGAATAATATGAAGAATGTGTGCTGAGCTCTGAAGGTTCCTGCTGTAGCAGAGGCTGGAGGAGAGAAAAGTAGGGACAGAGCTAGAGGCTTCTCAAATTCCCTTAGGCTTTCATTGTGTATCATCAAATAGTCAAAGGACTAAAAGTGAGAGACTAGAACACACAGAAAGAATAGAGCATAAAATTCTAAGTGTACTTGCTACCTTCAGGCCACTCCAAGTTCAGGGTACAAGAGGGGTGAGGGATGAGGATGAGAAAGTGGCACCAAAGTCAGAGTCAGTTCTTCTAGCGCCAGGTCTTCCATGGACAACAGAACATGAATTTAAATTGAAATTCTTCTCCTTCTAAATTCTTTGAAAATTCTTAATCATTTCTGAGATATATTGCAAAACACTAAATTAAAGAGAAGAGAATGCTGTCTAGTACATGCTGAAATATCCCTCCTAGGGTAGCAATTCTTTACCCTCATGTATGATTACATTTCTAGAATCTGAAGCACTAAAGGAAGGAAGGCCACAGAGCAAACCTAGTATTTGAGCATAATAAGCAATCACCCAGGACACATTCACACCCCTCCAAATGCTTAAATCACTGGGAATTCATACATCCTTTGTGATTCTAAGAAATCCAAAAAGTCGCCACTATGATGCACATAACAGATGTACTTCGATGGTTTAATGTGGAATTCATAAATCAAAATTGCTTTCCAGCAAAGTTTCGTTAAACTTTTATTCATGGCAGTGTGCGAGGATTGTTCTTTTCAGAAACACAAAGAATGCTTTTGCTAATGACTTCTAATGAGGATGATCCCAGCACCTACAACAAGGCTGACGATGGAGGCTGTTTCCATTCCTTGGCAACTGGTGCTGTCAAAGATAAACACAGCTGGACACCTGTGGAAGCAACAGGGACAGATTTTCATCAGTCACAGACCGTTGTAGTAGGGAAAAGGGTCAACTTTAATCTGTAAGGAGATGACTGGGCCTTGTAAAAGATGAATGAGGGAGGAGAGAGGCAGACAAGCAAGAGCTTAATCAGAGTCAGGCAACTGAAAGGGTACAAAGTGTTGGTTAGTGTAAATGCTACAGGCAGCTGTGTCTGCTGGCAGGACCGGAGTTGGGATTCTGTCCTCTATGGAGCTGGGAGACAAAGCCCCTGTCCTTCCTGAACGCTTCAAAGCAACGGCTTTCTGGTCCTTGTGAACAACACTCCTGTGGTGTAGGAGGTACATATTCATATTTATAAGCTTTTTCAGTGCACACTTTAGAAAAGGGATGACCTATCCGTTGCCAGTTAAGACAAGTTTTAAATTTTTTCAGCAGCCTTGAGTTTTATGTCTTTCTGTTTTCAGGCAGGCACATTATAGGGGCCAGGGTCATCCCGGGAATGCAGCCTTAAGCTAAGTTGGTGTCCATATCATTTTCTATGGGTCAGAGGAGGTGTATTAAAGCATTTGTACTGAGAGGCTAACATTCTATAGTCCAAGGCAAGTCAGGAAGGGGCTCCTGTGAGTTGCTATTCATTTTATAGAGTTGTGTTACTCCCAGAACACACACAGACACACAGCCACAAATACACAATGAACTCTGCCCTTCTTATTTATCTAACACATGATGAATAGCATTTTCTGTCTGCTGTACAGTTGCCACACTCATGTGGGATGGTTACTTAGCGATCCCCAAAGTGCCCATGACACAGTTTTCTCACCCATCCTCATGCCAGGAGACAGATATTCAAGGTCTTTTCTATGGTTTACTGTTATCAGCAGTTTAAAATGATGTGGTCATTTGTATGCTCTGCCTACCCCTGATGTGATTAAAATTATGAGGATTAGAATTACAAGAAAGAAGTGACTAGCTACAGGATGTCCAACACTTCAAAGACCTTTGGTAGCTGTGATTTTATTTACTCCCCCCTGTTCATCCCAGTCCACCAGGACCTAACATTTTGTACGTTGGGACAAGCAACATGAGTCTCACTGGGTCCTTTCTATAGGACCCAAGAGAAGGTGTGGGGAGAGTCTTTTTGTGTTCCTACCATTGTTGCACAAGAATGGGAAAATACATTTTTCACTTCATTTAGGTTCTCAGCTGGACTGTAAGAAAAAGTGAATTAACAAGAAGAAAACAGGCTTATTAACATGTACATCATGCATTTAACATGTGTGGCATCCAAAAACGAGTAACATAAGGGAATATTTAGAATTTAAGCTTAAGTATCATCTTAGGTTGAGAGAAAATGGTTTTGAGGCTTCTGAGTAGTCGAGTCACATTATGGGAAGGTAATCAGGAAAAATATAAAAAACAAGATTTGTTAGTAAGGCTTGCCATGCAGATAGGTACCTTCTGTATTGATAAGTGTTAGTTAGAACAACTTTTCCTAGAACAATAGAGGAAGACATTTGTGCGAATAGAAATTTTCCTTAAAAGAAAAATTTGTGACCTGTTTGCTGAGCTTTTTCTGCATTTGCTGGTTCTCAATTGTTTTCACTCAAAATAATCTATGTCAAAGAACATTTTTGAAGTTGCATGTTCTGGCATCCTCTCTACACATAGGACATTTTGTCTCTGAAATATGGTGTGATCCACTAAGACTACACATTCTAAGAGACTATCAGTGTAATGGCTAAGAGGATACTTACAGTCCAGGGTGAGAATAGATATAATAGGAAGACATTTAAGGACTCTAAAGAAGGAAAGCAGGGTGCATTGAAAAGCTACATGTACCAAGCCATTGCATTCTACACATTATCAGCTTAGATGCAAAGAGCTACCTGAGCAAGTTTCTTTAATATGACCAGATTGGGGGCTGAAGGTGTATCTCAGTGATACAGCACTTTCCTAGCATGCATGAATCCCTGAGTTCAATCTCTAGCATCAGAAAAATAAAAAATTAAGAACCAGATTAGAGTATACACATTGCTTTTGCACAGGCATCTGTCAGTTTCAAGGCTAGAAGGCCATGCTGGTCACTGCCAATTTTATTTTATTGTTTCTAGGTTTTTATGACAAAAGCCCGAGGCCTGGGGGTTCTAACAGACCTAGTTTAGCCACCCAACTCAAAACACCAATCAAGAAGATGAATGGTAGTGAAGGGTTGGAGCGGAGGTTTAGTCAGCATGGCCCCCTGGGATGAACTGATGAACAGACTCAGTATCTGTCTTCAAGGGGTTGAGACAATCTTTGAGGTATCAAAGAAAAGAGCAACAGAAGCAATGGTTGGGGGTTTGCACAGCTAGAGGTTTTGCTCAACTTCCAGAGTAGGTAATCCCAGTCAAGCTGTGGTCTGGTCGATTATTATCTCTGGACTGGGACTGGTTCTGTCAGGTGGTGCCCTAGAAATCCTTTTGTTTTAAGGGGAAAATCTGGTTCGCATGAGCTGATTGCCCCTGCTCTGGAAGGTTGACCTCAGTTCCTTCATCTGACAGGCTCTGCTTTTCCTGGGATCTGAAATGACTGCTGGTTTGGAACAATGACCAGAGACTTACGGGAGCGACCTCCAGGGAGTTTGGAAAAGGACATTGTAAAAGCTAGCAATTGAATTTCCTGGAAAATCTTGGAAATACCTTAGTTACTCTTAAATCAGTGTCTTCAGTCTTGAAGGGGGATGAAACAGGTTTGGTAAATTAGGACTAATAATTCTTTTCTTATGAGCTTTTAGACAGACACTTAAGAGATAAACATGCATATGAGTAGTGCTGAGCAGAGCTCTGACCCAAAGTGTTAAGGAAGAGAGGGAGGTAGATATAAAGTAAAGGCAGAGAGACCAAGCATTATCCTGTCTTAGTGACCCATTGGACATCTGCAGGCCTGGCCTTTATGTCCCAGTTATGACAGCTTTATCAACTTTTGCTTTGTTAATTTCACAGCAGGAAATGACATTCTTTGAATTTTGCATCGGTTAACTCAAGAATGAAATATAATGGTTACCCATATATTTCTAGTCAAATTTTTGTTTGGTGAATTACATGCTGATACCCTTGGTTCACAATATTATTACAGGAAGCAAATATCAATTTGATAGCAATTTTCCATGCTGTATATTTTGAGAGGAAAATAATGATGAAGGATAGATATTAATAACCCATCAAAAAGGGACTAAAATTGTAAGAACGTTTGATTTCCTTCAGTGCTATCCTTATGATATGTAAAGAGAAGTATAGAGAGAATCTGTACTTTGAGGCCAAGAAACAGTCATTCTTAGGGAAATTAGTAATCTGATATGTGGCTAAGACTATTTAAACCAGATTAAAATGCAAATAAGTTGAATATTTAAGAAAGTATTTTTGCTTTGTAGGCGCATTATTTTTTACAAGAGCTATAAGGAAATAACAATGTCAATGATAAAAGTGGTAAATGAAATAGAATTAATAGTCATAGCATGTTGCATGCTGTGTGCATGCATAGTACCTTGATGAAAAATGTTATTGTCTTGTTTCTGTCCCAACAGTGAGTACTTAATTTATGCCCAAAATATGTCAAGGACAAACATGGGGCTGAGAGCTTGAGAGTTACTTCTGTTAGACTGCTGTTGGCAGAGGCAAACTCACGTCTATGAAACTCAGTGGATCCTGACCAGAGGCACCTTCTCCCTTCCCCAGACATTTGGCAATGCCAG